TAGAAAATCATAGGGAGAACTGGCACTAAAAAAAAAAAAAAAAAAGAAGAAAAAAAAGAAGAAGAGTATTTAAGGTCATTGACACTTATACCAACAGAATTAGATTTAACTCCTTTAAGATTTTTTAAACCTATAAATTATGTTTTCTTTTTCTTAAAATAATAATACCATTTAACATCTCTTTGCTTTAATAATTTTTCCTGAAAATTGAACTCTTTCCCTATCAGCATATAGCACTAGCAAAGTGTAAAGAACTGCAAATTTTACATTAGCTTACCTACACATATTGTTTACCAGTCTCTCACAGCCTAACCAAATGTGCTATTTCACAGCTTAGATGTTAGTGTTAGGCTAGGAACAAAATAGAAACAGGTCAAGCCAAGTTATGAAGTTATGGGTTTGTTTGTTTGTCTATATAATCATACCAAAAGGTGCACAACCTTCACTTGGATAATAATCCTGACTTTAAAGCAAAACACCTACAAAATCTTACAACAGTACTTTGCTATTCTCTGACCCGGCACCTGGGAATGGAGAAACGTGGCACTATTGCTGCTGTGTACAGGGAACAAGATGATTGGTAGAAGTGTGATCTTGAACATGGAATAATACAACCAAAGAAAGCACTGTACTTGTAAACAGCAGCTTTGAAGTACCAGCATCCTTCCACTTGTGTTCCACTCTGAACATTCCTATAGTGGATACTGGGCGACTCTACAGGGTTTCCTGCATACTGTCCTTACCCACTTCTTCACTTCCAATTAAACCTGCACATTTTGACACCCACCCATTCATGCAGCTTCAGCTACTATCTACATGGATGACCTACAAACTTATTTCTCTCCCCTATACTTCCATATCTTTCCTTCCTTATCCAGTTAAGTTCAAATCTCATGCATCATCTTTGATTCCTTCCCCATCTCAAACCATGTCCAGGTGCTATCATATCCCATATTTGTCACTTCAAGGTTACACTAATGTAACACACTCTACAAGGGGTTGCATTTTTAATTCTTTCAGAAGCCAGAACTGATGCAGAAGACAATTCCCTATTAGGTGACTGAGGTATCCCATATTAAAAAGTGTGACTCCCATGATGAAAGGTGAGCTTCTAAAAAATTCAAGAAGTGCTGGTTTTGAGTTATAAAACCCTAACCCCCTGGAAATAAGCTACTTGAGATTGCCTTTTCCTGTCCCCCTTTCCCTCTTGCCCCCACAGTCTTCCAGTTAACAGAAGAGCCAATATATATCTTCCTCCATTTAATAGGAAGGGAGCAGAGTATTAGCAAGAACACAGACTCAGAAGTAAAACAGCTTGAGCATTGTCAGCTTTTGAGGATACACTGTAAGATATGTGTTTTGTCTGCCTTTTGTATGGAGGTGTTAGTATCTGTATGAAGAGTGGCTGGTTGGTAAGGAGTGCAAGCTGGCAGAAAACTGAATTATTTGGCAGGGTATGTGGAGCTGTGTGTAGGCACATTTCATCTTCAAACAAAGTAGACAGATCTGTGCTTTCTTTCACAGAAGTTGTTCAGCTGGGAGCCTGCTGTATACAAATTCATCTTGATGCCTGCAATGAACTGAAAAGGTTCGGGGGCTGGGGCACATGGCTGAGGAAACTGGGCTTATTTAGTCTGGAGAACAGAAGACTTAGGAGGGATTTAACAGCAGTGTCATCTACCTGAAGGGTGGTTACAAACAGGATGGAGCTAGACTGTTCCCAATGGTGGCAGACGACAGAACACAGAGCAATTGTCTCATGTTGCAGCAAGAAAAGTTAGATATTAGGAAAAACTCTTTCACCAAGAGAGTAATACAGCACTGGAACTGGTTACCCAGAGAGGCTGTAGAACCTCCACCCTTAGAGGTTTCTTAAGACCCAGCTAGACGAAGCCTTGGCTAGACGATATAGTTAGGGCTGGTCCTGCTTTGAGCAGGGGGTTGGACTAGATGACCTCCTGAGGTCCCTTCCAGCCCTGATTTTATATGATTCTATGACCTGAATTATTTATGTAATTCTAAGTAATTAGGAACAATTAATACATTTTAACTGGAAAACACTGTGTTGGCTTTACCTTGTATTATCAAGGTAAGAACTTAAATCCAGATCTTGTCGGTTTGAATTGCCAACTATGGCCTTCAAGTTTTCATGTTTCTAGCAGCCTTCTGTAATGGCACTGATCTCTTTCTAGATCTATTTGCATTCCACTGGAGCAGATATGTTTTGTCTGATATACTCCAACCATTCAGAATTTAGTGCATCACTTGTGAAGTCTTAGCAGAATGTTTTTCTCCAGAAAACAGAAACTAGAGAATTCTCTTACAATTAGCATGAACTGCACTAACCTACCTGTGCTCTAACTATAACCAGGTGCCAAAACAGGACAAAAAGAACACTGCCACCCTTCCATAGCTGGAACCCTCCCAGCTGCAAACCTACGTGAGGGACTCCAGGGTCAGTTCTGGCTTATAGTTAGCATGGATTGCCCTACCTACATGTGCCCTAACTCCAGGAGCCCCGCCAATCCCAAAGAGAAAGACATCCTAAACCATAAAGCAAACTCTAAAGAAAAATAGCACTAAACTATATTTTTCCGAACTAGTTTTGCAGCACTTGAAGCATCAGCAGATGCTAGGAATTCAGTCACTGAACTAGCACTGACTTCTGAATGAACTGAGGGATGATGAACTTTGAAGCAAAAAAGGCACAATACTGCCGTATATTCTACACAACAAATCTCAGTGGGGCAGTTGTGTAACCTCCATCTTAGCAAGTAGCATCACAGAAGGTAGAAATCACAGCCATCTTTTCTTGCTCAGCTGTCACTGCAATAAGCAAGGTGCTAAGAAACCGGCTTTATGGGTGACAACTGCCAGGAGAGAGAAAGGACAAGAAGAGAGAGAAAACAGTCCTAGGAGAAAAACCAAACAAAACAACCATTTCAGTTTTAATAAGCAAAGATTAACAGCCTGTCTGCTCTATACCTGGACACACAACCTCACGAAGTAGTAAAAAATTCTCTCCTTCACCTTCTCCACACCTTGAGAAAATGGTTATAGTAAAGGAAGAAGCAGCTAACATTTTGTACAGCATCTATTAAAGGAAAAGGATGCACTAGTGAGAAGAACAAAAGGGTTCCTGTGACGTCTTTTTTGGATTATGAAATAGTGGAAGATGCTGCTGTGCTCCGGCAGGTGTGATTAGATGACGGGAACAGCTTTAGGCATCTAACAACTTACCTGAAAATACTTTCTGAGTTGTATGTTGCTACAGCAGTGGTACCATTAACAATAACTGAATAAACTCATTATGGGAAAGACTGTACACAAAATAAAAACAGAAAATTTGGCTCCCAATTTGTCCACCTCCCAAACTCCCCCTCCTTCTTTTACCCACTTATTTTAAAAAGCTTAATGAGGAGGAAAGATACATGCTTACAGGAGTCTCAGCACTAGTCTGAACCACTCTTCACATTCTTTTCTTGGCATGGGAAAGAGAAAGATGTTAAGTATTCTAAATTTGTGAAAGAAATGAGGCATGGAGAAGTTTAATGTAAATATAGCAAAAACCATAGAAAGTATTCTTGAACACTTGCCACTGGCTCTCTCCAATGCTTATGGACAGATACTTCAAAGAAAAAGGAACTAGGTTTTTTTCAGAAAAAGCTACATGGAATACATACCAGATACACAAGTCATCTGTGCAAGATGCAGTAAAAACTCATTCATACAAGTTGTGATTGAAAAACAAAACAAAGAAAAAACCCCACACATTTAAAGTAAAAGGGTACAATTCTTTAGGAAAAAAACATTTATTTAAATCTAATTTACACTGTAAGCCAATTATGGCAAAATATATTACTTGGAAACAGGACAGAATTTCACTGGGTACAAACAGGAGTTGGCTAAACAGTATATAAAAATGTCCTCTGAAAGCATCTACAAAAGATAAAGGCAGATCAGTATAAGCTGAAAAACTATTGTTTAAGGCAAAGCAATTATTTTTTTTTTTTTTAAAAAAAAAAAAAAAAAAAAAAGCTATCATCAAAATATTACCTCTCCCAAGTATCTCCATCTTTCTGAATAAAAATGTAGGATCATGTTTGAGCATAGATATAGGGCATTTTTAGCTATGAAGAAATGCCACAAAGACTTGCAATGAAATGCAGTGAGTCCATGACACCTGTAAGGCAATTCAGGATTCTGTACCTGGTTTCAAAAATACAGAATGTCAAAGCAAATGATATGAGTGTCACATTTTGCTAATCTGCTGATGGATGAAAACAGATAAAAATTACTTAAGACTCTTCAGTATGCAAGCACAGAATAACTGTCTAAAGATAAGAAATAAGTAAATGAATTTTGTTAAATTCCATTGCCGAGACATTTTCATGCGCACATCCTGTCTGATCTAATGTTCATTAAAACAGCTCAGTCTTCCTGTTGGTTTCACTGGGAGATGGACTGAATACATACTACAAAAAAACTAAAACAAAACAAAAAGTGGAAGACAAGAATTCAAATTTGGACCAGATCTCAACTATAAGAGGCATTCATTTATGCTCTCTCTCAACCATTCACTTTTAAAATACTTTAAAATAACTCAGCATCAGTCCTGAGATGATGTACGTGTAGAGAAAGTACTAAGCACCTACTTATCTTAGGTCCATAGAAAATATCCAACACAGAGGTACTGAATTGAAATGCAAAAATACATTGGAGATGCTATGAACAAGGCTACTACTGCCATAACTAGTAAATATTTGTACCCCTCTTTAAAAATTATACTTGAGTAAATATAATATTAAATTTGACTTTTCAACAAATGCCTATTACATATCTGAAATGAAAATGCATCCTCCATCCAACAAATTTTAGTGCTATGTGATCCTGCTGTACCAGTTCACTCTAATTTTCTCTTTATGCATCATATTAGAAGTCAATATAATTGATAAAAAAGGAGTTGTTCATTTCCATTATTGAAACAATACCTTTGCTTTCTAAAAAGAAAAAATATATATATTTTTACAGGTAGATTAAAAAATTGTGCTGTATCCAACAAGGACTAAAATGTTTAGCTGAAGATGCAATCTTTTCTTTCACATCAGACAGAAAGGGGGTTGGGGAGGAAGTTCTCTTTAGTGTCAGGTCTTCTTTCAAACGGTCCTGGGTGGTAAATGCTGTCTGTACATTCCTGCTAGAGCCTTGGCTGCACTGTAGATCATTTGTCGACGGGACATAGCAGTGAATGCCACATGCCAATCGGTCCTGTTGACATTCAGCAAAGTTTTCTCCAGCACTTCCCCCACCGTCACCAATAGGCCCGACCATCTCAGGTTATAGTCCTCGGGAGTAAGATTCTGAGCCTGCGTAATAATAATAGATGAAATTATTTAATTAATGAGGTAAAAGGTCAGACTCTAAAATCCTTGTCTTCATTAGTACCTTATTTGGACAGTAGCCCTATTCATTCCAATGGGCTCACTTGAGAATAAGAAATATGCAAAGATTGAAGGTCCTGCAATCCTAGTTCTAAAAATTTGTCTCTTGGTAACTGGATACTCGGTCCAGTCAATGGGACTTTTTAAAGTTCCACACATTATGTTCCTAGATGACACTAGACATTCCCAGGGCTACTGTGTAGTTTGCCTAGTAACAAAGTCACCCTGGCGTTACCACAACGTTGTATTGAAAAAGCCGCCAGCCAGATGTAATCAATAAGGATATGTGTACTTATAGAATGATTTTCATCTTTAGAGGGCTTTAAAAATGTCCAATCCTTAAAACAGCCCTATGAAACAAGTACATGCTCTATCTCAATAAGGAAATGGAGGATGTGATTGCAAGTTATTTGCCCAAGAACAGAGAGGGAGCCCACACCAAAAGAAGGGTTAGAACTTGGCACAGAACTGGAAATCAGATGCCACATAGGCATCTATTTTTATAATTCTGTATTACTACATTGCACAACTTCTTTATGGATAAACTACACTTACTGGGCTGTTTCTCTGCTACGCACTACTAACCTCGGATACAACATCCTGCAAATGGATAGTGGAATGTCAAGTGAAAGATGACAGTAACAAGTGGTTCAATAGCAGTCCAAGGGGACAAATGGCTTATCATCCCTGTCAGGAGCAGACTTGTTCAAAATGAGTCATGCAAAAATGACCTGCGTAGACGTGTAGAGGGCACTAGACACGAGTCATAGAACAAAGCAAATATGAAGGGACTCTTAAATACATTGTAAATACGCAAGGAAAAGGACAAATGTAGCAGAAAGAACTGAGCAAATGGAAGGAAGCACAGCTTTACAGCAGTGGGAGAGATAAAGGGGTTTTTTCATATGTGAACTAACCCATAACATCAAATTGGGATAGATAAGGTAGTTTTGATTTTTTTTTACTTCCAGTTAATTCAGACATGTTGAACTGAATTGATGGAAATGCTGTATTTCGAGCTACTGTTATTGGACATCCACAAGAGAAAAAAAATCTGATCCTTTAAATAAATGCTTCAGTATTGGGTCAAGAGCAACATAAACATAGCCTAGGACTGTTTTTTCATGGATGGATTATCTCGTGAGTAGGGAAAACAAAAGTCCTAAAACTATAAAGCACAAAAGGTGGACATAGTCCCTTTATATAGGAAATTAAGAGTTATTTCTGTTGGTTATAATCCAATGCAAGTTTAAAAGTTTACACTCACTCCTACATAGTGTCCATATACCATATCAAGTGACACTGAACCTGGTTATATACCATATTTACTTGAATACAAGATGAGATTTTCCCTCCCAACTGGCATGGGGGGAGAAGATATAACTGCATATAAGGAAATCTCACTAAATATGTTGTCTATCATTAAACTGCTGCCAAAAGCAGCATATGCTCAGCAATGGAAACCCATTATGAAGTTGATTAAACGTAGCCAACACTGAGTATGACAAACACATGGCCCACACTGGGCAAACTTTTTATTTTTAAGGAAAATTTTTCATGTCCCAGGTCAAATTAGCCGAATTAGCCAGATCAGTTCCAAATCATTTTAACTGTTCAAGAACTGTATATGGCAAGTATCCTCCATCCCACACTTTTCAGTCTGGGGCTTCAGATTCTTTTAAATCTTTTGGCAGGCATCCTATGTGCAGACCCAAACCCAGAGGCTTGGGGTTCAGATGCCCCCAAGTTTCACTTGCCCTCAGCTGTATGGCTGCAGGAACAAGCTAGGGAGGAATTTCCCATTTCCATAGAGTCGGCATGTAGCCAAGATCCTCCCACTGGAAGCCGGCCAGCGGTAAGCTAACTATGAGGCTCTCGTAGGGAGTCCTGTCCACATGCAGACAAAGGTGCACCCTCTGCTACACAGTGCCATTTGAAAGTGCATTCCCTTGGTTATGGTATCTCCCCTGCCCACACTGGGCAAACATGTTAGGTTTGTTTGTTTTGTATTTTTTTAAAGGAATTTTTTTGTGCCCCCCAAGTCAAATCAGCTAAATCAATTCCAAATCCATGCAAGTCATTTCCAGAACCATGTGTGACCCTGCTACTGGCAAGCATCCTCCCTTCGCCTGGGGCTTCAGATACTTCCAAATCCTTTGGCTGGCATCCTACACGCAGAACCAAGCCCAGAGGCTTGGGGTTCAGATGCCCCCCGATTTTGCTTGCCCTCAGTTATATGGCCACAGCAGCAAGCTAAAGAGAAGGCTCTGGCTTTAGATTAATACATAGTACAAACTATACATGATAATGATAAGTAGGTGCCAAAATGCAGCTCAAAAGTGTGTTTATGGAGGACTTGTGCTAAAACTTGCACCAGTTTTAGAAAAAGGTTTGATTCTGGATTAACTAAGTGCATGAGTACTACATACAAATTGCTACAGCCATGCTTAATTTCAAGGTTATTGTTTTGAAATTTGTCCCTCACTTCCCTGTTCTCAGAGAGAGCAGGATCTGTCAATAAGGAGTGAGGAAAAGGTGTGCGGGGGGGGGGGAAGCAGAGAACAAAGGGGCTACCTGACCTACCCCCCACCCCCAATTTATTTTCCCTGCTGTAGCAGTGGGAATGTGACAAATTCAAGGCAAACCTCCAGTACAGTAATTAGATTCTATACCTAGAAGAATTATAACAATTTTATAAAATTTTCCATATACGGAATCTAATTACTGGGGGGGGTCATCTTATAATCAAGGTTGTCTTCTATTACAGTAAATACCATACATCAATTAAGCAGATCCATTTATGAAATCTTCCTTGTCAACCCCTGCTATGTAGTAAATAAAACTTTTCAAAGTCTGAAGTCTTTTAACCTAAGAAGGAATCATACTACTTGAATCTATAATCTGGTCACAAAATCCTTGGACACAGGTGTCATGGTGGATATAGTCTTTCTGGATTTTAGGAAGGCCTTCGACAGTCTCTCACCCCATTCTCATTAAAAAATTAGGAGATTGTGGTGTCGATGCCTACACAGTCAGATGGGTCACCAATTGGCTGGAGGGCCGCACCCAGAGAGTGGTGGTGGACAGGTCATTTTCGACCTGGAGGGATGTGAGCAGTGGGGTCCCCCAGGGCTTGGTCCTTGGGCCCGCACTGTTCAACAACTTCATCAGCGACTTGGACGAGGCAGTGAAAAGCACCTTGTTCAAATTCGCAGATGACACTAAGATGTGGGGAGAAGTGGGCA